ACGAGAAAAAACAGTTTTTGAGGAGTCCTTGGAAGATCACTGAGGTCCAAGATGAGTAAATCAGGAGGAGACATTGTAGCAAAACCCCCAAGCCCCCAGTGTATTTTATTTTAAAATACATTCCCTCCCCTTCCCCAACCATTTCTTACTTATTCTCTCCCTCTCTATTCCATATAGATAAGTTTAAGTAAGCTAAGATGTAAGATAAGCTTTAACATTTTATTTTAGGTAGCAAGTTTTATTTTTCTTTCCCCTCTTTGCAAATAAGTGCCCTGCTATTTGGATATAGGTATCCACTGTTTTATAAGTGATAATTATTATGTTTGTATTGATTTATTTTTTTACTGCTTTTATATTGTGTGATTACTGTTTTAGGCCTATATATGTAAGTTAGCATAAGTCATGTCAAGTTTCTATCTTGTAATGTCAAGCCTCCATCTTATCCCCATGCCCGGTTGTGTAACCTATGACTCACACCTACCCCTCCTATGTAACTTGGTTCCTGAATAAATGGGGAAGAATGAGGGTGCTTGAGAGACAATGGCAGTAGGTCTAAAAATACCTCCCTCTGAATGACCAAACAATCAACACCAATACCTGTACCAATGACCCAGCCATTGGAACCACCCTCAGCATTCAAGAAACAAAAGATGAGGCAACCCACCATTGTTCCAAGGCTGCACATGCTCAGTAAGAACACCTGGAGCCCTCTGGAACAGGACTGACCTTGCCTGGACAGGCCCTCCCCATAGGAGATCAGAGTTAGGTTTCTGCCTCAGTTTCTTTCCTGGCTGTCTCCTCTTTGCCACCATTTATCTGTCGTTCCCCCCCCGTAACTCAGCTGTCTGCCTCAGTTTCCAGTCCCAAGCTCCCAGGTTTCTGCCTCTCTCTTTCCTGGCCGTCTTCTTGCCACCAGGCTTTTTTTTTTCTTTCCTCGAGTAACTCTGGGGCCACTTGATCTTAAGTGAACCTCAAGCCTCAGTTCCTCAGCCAGCTTCTCCCTAGTCTACTGGTTCTAATCCCAGTTCTGGCAACTTTCAGTCCCTACACTTTAACTTTCTCTCTCTCTCTCTCTCACCTTAACCTTCCCCCAAGTATCCCAGGTACCCCAAGCACACACACTGTACCATCCAAGTTAGGAACTTACTTGTATGTGTAGGTGGGTTGTATGTTTGTGAACTCGTGTGTGTGTGTGTGTGTGTATCTCATTGTGTGCATGATATACAAATTAGTGATCTGTGTATGTGTGTTGAGTGTGCAGGTATTGACAATTGATTTTTGTCTAGTTTTTAGTGTGTAGTGTGTATGTGTTTGAATTGGCGATAGGTATGCATGTGCCTAGGCTGGTTTGAATGTGTATGTGCCTGAGCTGATAGTGTGTGTGAATGCACCTAATTGATTTGTATGTTTGTACATGTGAAATTGTGTCACACCCTCCTGTCTAACAGCACCATATTGAGATCCTGAGGGTTGGCCTGACCCCACAGGGCAACAACATCTATGAAAACCCATATGGAAAACGTCTCTTCCTGCACATAAACATGAGTTAATTGTAAATAAATATTTATGATACTAATTAATCAAGGATAGACATTTCACACAGTTAGATATCAGACACATACGAGCCTGCTTAAAATTATAAATATAGTAAAACAAGCTGGCAGTGATGCCTCATTATTTCTTTTCAGAAGATCCAGCCACAAACTTGAATCCTCTTGCACTATACAGTTGTCATCAATATTTTGTATTAACTTTTGTGAGTAGGCCCAGTTCAGCTTGAGTTTCACGGTATTAGCTGGCATTTTCTGCAGGGTGCCTTGAGTCTAAAAAGGTTGAGAACCAGTGATCTAATCTCTCTACATATATATTTATATTGAACTTACCAGGTTTATCATATTGCACTTACCTGTATCAAAATAGACCCTGAGCTCCTCACCTTCAGGTAAAATAGTATGATTTCCTTTGTCAGCTCATTTATCTTGTCATTCTAATCTAAATCTATACCCTTAATAATTTTGATTTTTTCCTCAAACTTGTTTACAACCATCTAACACTGAAGTACCCAACACTAAATGGTTACCTCAACAGTACAGTATAGGGGAAAACATCTTTATTTTATATAATGTAGTCTCATTACACAATCATATTCAGTTTGTTACCTACAACCAGTCTTGGGTTCATTCTGTTATTGTTACTTTCAGTTACTTTCCTTACATTAAATATATTATGTTTACTCAAATCCAAGATCTTAGATGGAATGATGAAAATATTCAAGTTAATATTTAACTTCCACTGTATTGGTTTCCCCCCCACCCCCCATGCAACTATATGCATTGCTCATGCAGTTAAATATAGTGAAGTCACTGCTTTCCATAGCAGGTTACTGTGCAGGTTCTTAATTCTTACATCTGGGGTGTAGAAACCATAATGGAAAAATATTTATTTTCTTGAAAAACTGTTTCTTTAGAAGGTTTTTAATCACTAGAAATAATTTAAATTATGAAAGATTTTTTTATAAAAACTAATCTCTGAGCTAGAGGGGATTTGTTTAAATTTTATGTGAGGGTGTTGCCAGTCAAAAGCAATGGGGTACATCAGTTAAGGATACAGATGCTGAATAAAAGAGACCTTTTGCAAAGTAAGGAGATAATGAAGGCAAGATTAATGCAGTTATGAATTACAGAGATTGCTTATTGAACTACAGTAAAATCCTTTTTTGTAATATACTTTGAATATAAAGGAGATTTTGTAAAACAAACTTTTGCACTCTAGCATACATGTGTGATCAACCTCGTCTTATGTTAAAATTGATGTTCACCTCCTTGTCAATAAAAATCTGAACTACGTGCAATCTGAACTATGAGGATCCTGTTAGAATCCTGTAAACATCTCGGAGGTGTTATATAATGAGTAGTGGAGTACTGGTATTGGCTAAATTGATTTGAATTGATATTTTTAAGGAGTTGACAAGTCCCTTTCCTCTTTCATACCTCGTGATGCTATGCCTTCCCCAGACGCTGTTTTAGGTTATTTTTGTAATTAGTGTATTTGAACTGTCTTCCTCAGAGATAAAACTGGAAAAACAGAATTTGATTTTGATAAGGATAAATATGACATCAGAATTCCAGAAGACTTAGATGAAGCAACAGGAAAACGAGGGTATAAAAAACAAGAGCGAATGGACCAAAATGTGCCTGAAAGTGACTATTCTCTACGGGTATGTATACAGTCTAATTAATAAATTGATTATAACAGATCTAGAAAGTGTAATTCAAAGTTCTCTGTTGTTGTTTTGGTTTTAGCTCCATGTTTTCTAGTAGATCTTTAAGGTAATTGCAAAATAAAAAACAGCTTTATTTATGTCACACTGTCCCCCATTTGTTAGTTTAAAGGGTAATCCACACAAGCTTAAAATAGACTTACTTTGTAATCTAAAATAGGCCTGTCCAATTGGTGAGCTGTGGGTGATTAACTCGTGGCCTGGAGGCTCCCATGCAGACGTTGTTGCTGATACAGCTAGGTTCTCTGGGCTCCTGCTTCCTTTTCCAGCTTCTGCTTCTTGCTCCTGCCCTGGGTAGGAGGACCCATGTGGCAAGGGGGAGGGGAGCAGGGACCCATGTAGCATGCAACCAACAGCCACTCAATTGGACAGCCCTGATCTAGTGTAAACCATTTTTTAGAGAACTGCAAATCAGAAAGCTATGTTAAGAGTTTAATGAATTGAACTCTTACTGTATTTGAACCAAGGATATACTTGCCACTGCTATTCTATTTTTCAGTCCCTCATGGATTCGGGTATTACATTTACCATGTGTCAGCACACATTTCAGTTAATCTGGAGATACTGTATACTCATGTTTGTACCCAGCATGCTGACATTTGAAATATGTGGGTAGGTGAACTCAGCATCACCGCCATACCTTGGAAAGTCCTTGTGTTGGGTTAGTCCATCCAGGGGTTGTTACCAGGTGTTCAGATGAACAAGTTCCTAACATGAGGCCATATTCTGGAAATAAATCATGTGTGCTAAAAAAGTAGAATGGAGATTTGGCAATAGAAATTTTTCATCCCACTTTATTCTCCACCAGAATTCTGCAAAGACCATCTGTGACAGGAGTCATGGGAGGGCATTCTGAAACAAGAGATGCTGTGTTCAGGGTTTGGCTGCATTTGTTCTCAACCAGTATTGGGCTCACTGCCGCTGCAGATTGCTTTTGATATAAATAATCCAAAGGAGGAGGGAGAGATAGGAATGACTAGATAGAACAGACCCTGCTTTTGTAATGATGCTCTGTGCCCATTTCTTGGACATGGTAGAACTGTTTGTAATGCTTTAAAGCAGGGTTGCAAAAAATATGGCCCACTGGTTGGATTTGACCCATGGTGCTTGTCACCACAGCTGCTAAAGCAGCTGCATCCACAGGGTTAACACAGTCACTTACACCTTCTGCCCATGCCCTCCTCCCCCCACACTTGGCATTAAATTTGGGGGTTTTAGTCACTGCTGGTGATATAGTGGCTCTGGCAGCCACAAGGATTAACGCCTCCATTATTTGCAGGTTGTCTGGCCTAATGGAAGCCTTGCAGTCTAGATCTGGCCTCTTGGGCAAATAAGTTTGACACCCATGCTCTAGAATATTTATTTAATTCAGTGAGGAGAGACTGATTGTTTCTGCTAATTGCATCTATTACTCTGCCTGTGGGAACTTTCTGCATGTATTACTGAAATACTTTCATTTATGGTTTGTGGTTGTACCTTTGTAAGGTTTTTCACAGAAACCTGTAAGGAAGGCTTTCGCTTCTTGGTTAGTTTGCAGTGCAATAAAATCAAATTTTGTAACTAGTTTGGTGCTCTCTCATGACCAGACTTGAATAAAACATTCCTAAATGTGCAGTTTCTTCTATGGTACTACTCTGTGTTAGATTTTTTTAGTATCCACACACATCACACTGCCTAATCTGCCTGTGCATCAGGGCTGGAGTGTCTGGTAGAGCAGGGGTGTCAAACATACAGCCTGCAGGCCAAATCTGGCCTGTGGAGCTGTTAATACTGGTGGGCCAGATGACCAAGGAGCTACCAGAAGTTGTCTGGTGTGGCCTGCCACAGAATTCAGGGTCCCTGGACTTACACTGCCACCCAGTCCTGGACCTGTGCTGCCTCTGTGCTGCCATTCAAATGCAGCTACATGCTGCTGCCCAGCCTTAAACCTACACTGCCACCCAAATGTAGCCCACCAGAGTTGGCTGCTGGCCCTGACAGTCTGCCCCAAAAGGAACCCTGTGGTTTGGATCTAGTCTAAGGCCTGGGGTGAATTAGACATCCCTGCAGTAGAGGAAATGCACACAAGACTACATCAGCTGTACGTGGGATGCACTACTCTGGGATGATACGCTGTAGAGAGCTCAGAAGAAAAGGGACTGGCTAAATTCATAGTGTTATTGGGTACTACCCATTCATCAGCATGAGCACTAGTGAATGGTTATAAGAATAATGCTTTTACCAGTTTTACTCCCTTGCAAAGGAAAAATATAATTACTGCAATTGCTAATTGAGTATTAACCACATTTTGCCTGTTTACACAGTCTTTCTCCCTTACTGTTTACACACTGCTGAAAGTTTCAGCGTGGCATGCAGCTAGCAGCAACATAAATTGAGTATTAACACAATTTCGGAGCTTATTATTTTTGTTAACTCTTAGCTTATTTTTTTCTGAAAAATATTTTGATCATATAACATTGTGATTTATGTTTATGAACTAAACATAAATAAATGCAAACTTACAACCAGTAGTTGTTTTTTTTAGGGATTTCATCCAAGCATGTCGTCATATGTAGTATAATGTATAAAACAGTAATTACTAGTACCAGTGCACAAGAGGAGCTGAGAACTGAATCATGACATATTTTGAACATGCTCAGCTGTTATCTACGTGTTAACAGTAGTATTTGTGTATTGATTTTGAATACTGTACAATTACGTTGTAACTAAAAATGCTGGAAATTTTTTCCTATATGTTCTTTCAGCAGTTGTTGCTGTTCATCATATTTCAGTGATGTCCTTGCTTAGCCCTTTTAATGTTTTCCCCTGAAGCAGCTTCCTGTTTGGCAAGTGATTTTTGCCATGCAACTGTATGAAAGTAAAAGTTTTCTGTATGGTAGTCAGCAAACTGAAGGTGCCTTCACATTATTGAGCTCATATAAGTCTAGAAAGGTGATGGTTGCTAGATTGGCAAAGCACTTTATTTATATAGAAAGCAACTTCTTTGCTTAGTGTGATACAAACATGGAAAGGTATGCATGGCCTTACCTGCATATGAATGCTAATCACCATTAACCACCCTGGTAATCCACAGTCTATTAAGTTTGCCGTAGAAAACCATGTTTCCAGTTTGAAAATGCTAGTCATTGTAGGCTAGGTCTTGCTTCCTGGAGGTGGGTTGCTTCTTGATAAATTTGTACCTTCAGATATCTGTTTATTCTGTCATGCTCAGAAGGAGTTTTCCCCTTTATTTTGTTTTGCTTTACAATTTATAATATATGTTAAATTCATTGTACAAGTTCATTGTTAATCGAATTGAATTGATAACAATAGGACTGGAAGACTATAATTACAATCAACTTTAAGGAGCATTAATTATGACCTTGTTTAAAATTTGCAGGGGGAGGATGCACTATAAACTGTTTTATATTTTGTTCAGCTTGAATAATAGATATTTTTTTGCAGGCTTATTGTAGCATTTTGTATCTGAAGCCAAGAATGCAGATCATTATAAGAGGACAAAAAGTACAAACACAGCTCGTTTCCAAAAGCCTTGCATATATCGAACGTGATATTTATAGACCAAAATTTTTGGCTGTATCCTTTATTGATATGTACATTATTGCACATTTAATGTGACATGATTTTGTTTGAGAAAAATGTAGTTACCCATATATCACCGTATCAGACAGAGAGATTGGTGGAAGTAGTCCAGCGTGAGAGTGGTTTAAGTCCCTATTTAGGATGAATATTTAGGGCTCCTGTAGACATGTAGGGAGCCTGCTCCAATGCACTGGAACTCCAGTGCATTGGAGCAGACTCAGTTAATCGAGTCTGCTGGAGCATGGAAATTGACATGCTCTGGCAGCCTTCTACACCACATGTATCAGCGTCCCCATGCTGAAAAATGGCAGCAGGGCGCTTTGAACTAAAACATTCAAGGAGCTTTAGTTTGAAGTGCCCTGCTGCCATTTTTCACCATGGAAACATCAGTATTTGTGATATGCAGGTGCTTTTCATTCATTATTGCAGCTTGCTAATTAAAGCACCCAGTGCTGCGTCCCAAAACGCATGTAAAAATGCCCTTAGTGTTAGTAAATCTGTATTACCAAATTTTCCTTAACATCTAAAAATAAGGCTAAAACTGTAAGAATCACCTTTGGATTTAACTGCAGAAATAAAGATCATTATGGAATAATGATGTACCATAGAAACAGACTTATCAAAGCTTATGAAAGAGTTGGCTGTCAATTAAAGGCAAGTACTTACACTTGAAAAACACATTCCTGTTTGAATTAGAAAGTAACCTCACTCAAAACAGTGACTATTACGTTGGTGCTATTCTACTAAATTCCCTGGGTTCTTTTAGTTTCGATTAATCTATTTGGAGATGAAAGTTCTACTGTACACTTTATAATATTTATTTCAGAGTTAATGTTAATTTGCAAAGTGTATAACTGTCATTGCTAGGGCAAGAGAAGGACAGGATAAGTACAAAATGAAAATAATTCCACTGTTTTGTTTTCAGAGGAACCATCTGACAAAATTCTGTATATTTGGCACATACTCTTTTCTGATGAAGTTATAGTTTAGATGAACGTATGTGTTAAATCCAAACTGCCAGTAGTCATCCTTGGAAACAGAAAAAAATGCTTCAGTGTAAAAATTATCTCTTTGTCTCTTCCTCCTTTCATTTATGTTTTAATCTTACAGGCAAACAACATGGGTGTTGGTGTAGTTGGAATTATAGAATGTAACTTCCTAAAACCAACACATAATAAACAAGATTTTGATTATACCAATGAATACAGGTAAATATATATTTATCTAGGCATCTTAGAAAACGGGTTTAGAATGGGAATATGAAATACCCTTCATAATACATTAACTGCAAAAGATGTTTCTTCTCAATATTATGCAGAAATACTTTGTAATATGATGCCCTGAATTGATCCTAAGAGGATGGTAAGAGACAATTCTTGGTGGCCACAGGGAACAGGAAAAGGAGGAATGGTCATAAATTGCACAAGGGAAACTTAGGTTACACGTTAGAAAGAAATTCCTCACTTTGAAGGTAGTTAAACGTTGGAACAAGCTACCTAAAGAGGCTGTGGACTCTTCATCCTTGGAAATTTAAAAACAGGTTAAATACACATAAATGTAGGATGTTTTTTAAAAAAGGATGATTGTGCTTTGAGCAGGGGATTGGACTAGGTGACCTTCTGAGGTCCCTTCCAACCCTACTTTATATGTTTCTATGGATACTTTGATTTTTATAAAGGCTACTTGATCATTGTATGGTACTAGTCAGAAATTCCCAAAGGAAAGCATTTCAGACAGCTGAACATAGTAGGGCAAAAACTGTAGTCTGGGGCTCAAGAATTAAAGAACTGTGGAATTCCAGCCCACACAAGTCAGAGGGCCAGAGAGCAGGGAGAAGGGGAAATGGATTTCAAGGGGCTAGAAAAGGCAGGGAGGTGCAACCAGTTCTCTAATTGTGATGGTGGCATTCTCACGTCATATCTAAAATTGAGGTATTATGCTTTTTTTTTCTTTAAATAAATTTCTGCTTTCCTCTCATTGGAAATCTTAAGAGATTCTCGTGGAATGGAGAAATAAATACAATTATAGAATTTTGCAGTGTTGCAGGTTTGGTCTAGGGAATCTCAAGAAGCATGATGTATTTGGTCATAACTCTTATTGGACCAGCGATAAAGTTGGGAGAGCTGCAAGATAGGTTTTTTAGTACAAAATGCCCTTGCCTGATGATGCTTAAATATTTCTTAATAGCTCTATTGTTGGTCCAATAAAATATATTCTGAAACAAAAATCTTGCTTTTAAGACATAAAGCATTTTACCGTTTCACTATTGGTAAATATTAACACGACTTGTTAATAATTAATGCTAGGTATCCAAACAGCTTTAATAAACCATGAATTCTTAATACTCTTCTTTTTCCTTTTCCTGTATCAGAAATACTTAGCTGTTGTGCTTCGTCACTTACCAAGTTATGAAGTCTGTTTTACTTGTCCTTTGAGAACCAAACCTGCATCCAGATATGCTTAGAACCCTTTTGTCTCTTTGGTGGGGCCCTGATGACCCAGGTACAGGAGCTAACCTGCACAGACCTGACTACAAAATCATGGCTGTTGTATATGTACTTGGGTACCAAGGTCTTGGCCACTGTGTGAGACTGTGGCTATATAGATATAGCTTAATTTAGGAGATATACAAAAATTACAGAAAAGATTATTGTTGACTTTTATTACAATGAATTTGGAAGCAAAACTACAATTCCAGAAAATAGATATTTATAGTTCCTGCCCTGATTTGTACCATATTCTGCTGAAGCATATCTTAATTCTTTCTACACCATGTATAAAAATGCATTTTTCTTACTAATTTTACAAAATATCTTTCCGTAAGACACTGTTTTCTGTTGCTAGGCTTACAATAGCAGCCCTAGGAGAAAAGTTAAATGATTACTGGAATGAAATGAAAGCCAAGAAAAATGAAGAATATCCTCTGGATTTGCTAGTGGAAGACATACAGTGAGTAACATGCTTCTCTGAAACTGTATTTTCAAGTCACAACATATAGAATATGCATGTGATAGTTTATCTGCTTCTATCTAATGTCACAGAGAAGCAAATACAATAACAGTAGTGGAGTAAAACATTTTTGTATGTTTTGACTTTTCATTACAGAAAACGGCCTGATCAGACATGGGTTCAGTGTGATTCATGTCTGAAATGGCGGAAGCTTGCAGATGGGATAGATCGCTTGCCAGAAAAATGGTACTGTTCATTGAACCCTGACCCACAATTCAGGTAAAATAAAATTTGGAGGAACAGCTAAATAGTACTGCATATTTTACTTTCATCAGCTGATTAAGACATCATTTGTTTTGGGTTTTTTTTGTAAATCAGGGATTGCAGTGTACCAGAAGAACCAGAAGATGATGACTTAATACATCCTACATATGAGAAAACCTATAAGAAAAGGTGAGTATTGGAGATCTGCGTGGAAAAAAAAGTGCCCAGTATAGGACAGGGGTTTGAAGGGTGTATGCTACAATTATGATTCCTGGTGACATACACAATTAAAACACTGTGATATCTTAAATGATGAGACCAAACCATATTTAAAAGTGATTATACAACTTTGAAATAAGATATGTATAATCACTCCCTTAATGTGTTCAGAATGTGGCTTGGCTGATCCAGAGATTCTCAAAGGGCTCTGTGCTCCACTAAGATCGGTTTTTGTTTTTGACTGCTAGTTGCATATGAATGTAAAGGGACTAGACTTAATGGTCCAGAAGTCCCTTCTAAGTCCTTAAGTTCCCATGTCTCGTGGTACTGATTCTCCTCTTTTCCTGTTACTTTAAGACAGCTAAGATGACACAGTTTAGTATGCCTATCCTTGTGCACAGAACACTCAGTCTATCTGTCTTTGGCAAGTGGCTGCTCAGCTGGCCACGTGTGTATAAATGATTTCCTAATACTTTCCAGAAAAGTGTCTGTGAGCATTCACTCAGAGATGTTGCATGATTTTTCACAAGGAAGGGAGGAAGGTGGCCCATATAATAAGGAATTGGAAAGGAGTGGTTCATTAACTGGAAACAGGGTAATGCAGGCTGTGTGAAGTTTCAGAGTTCCTATTGTAACCTAAGGAAATGGTTTGGGACCCAGCTGTTCATAACCAGGTGCCCTAACATAGTAGTAATTCAGGCATAAAAAAATGCTAGTTGACCCACCTGGAAGAATACCTTTGTGGCCTATTCTGTTAAACTGAATACTAATGCAAGGATTGGCCTTTAAAGAGCTGCACTTGTTAGATATGGCAACAAATTATTTTAAAGTTAAGCTAATTTAAGTGCTGTGATGGCCTTTGCTCTTTAATAAATTCAGAATGTGGTAATTGAAAACCAGTGTCTATTTTTTCCAATCTAGGTGCTAGAAAGCATTGTATTTGTTTTTAATATAGAAATTATTATATTTGTAAACTGAATTGTATATTTGGAGTTAACACCTTAATCTTTATCCCTCCATTCCTATAAAGAGACAAAGAAAAATTCAGAAAACGAATGGAATACAGTCAACAGGTACTACTTAAACTTTTATTTGTTGTATTTGGTAGTTTCTATGGTAACTTTTTAAGAGGATAAAGAAAGCTACAGTGTAAGAGTATACATGCAATGTGTTCTGCTGTTGGTACAGGTAAGCATTAAATTAAAGCTGTTAATTTACAACTGATATTTAGATAATATAGTTAAAAGAATTTATTTTTTCTCCATTGTTACGTTGGGAGGGGGAAGCATTGAGAAAGTATAAAAGGTAAAGTTCTCAGTGGCTACCTTGTACCAACATATTTAAACACTTTTACATGAGCATTCTGAGAGGGTGGTTTAAAAAAGTTTCCCCAGTGATGAAAAAAATCCATCTTTGAAGTTCTTCAAACTTTGTTACCTAAAGACAAGCAAATGCTGTTGTTAGAAAACATGTATAGGAGGCCATTCAGGACTGAATAGTGTGTGGACCAATTAAGCCCCAGAAGACGGTGTACTCTGAGGAGGAGAGATATCTTCAATGAGGAATTAATATAGTACATCTCCGTTTCAAATTCTCAGAAGTTTAGTGTCTGATATGGAGAGCAGGAATGAGTTGTTAAAGAGAAATTACTGGTGAGGCAAGGAGACAAATAAGGTTCATGGGGAAGATATTAAAAATAGAGGAGGGTTATTGATACTAGATTCTGAAACAAGAAGGGAGTGAAGCTTTGATCCTGGCAGTGATGTATTTTTAAGTCTGGAGCTTGTCTACATGGATACAATCAGGGATATTACTCCAAATTAACTAGAAGTATGAATTGCAAGGTGAATACTTATCTTGAGGTATGGACCTTCTTGTTCACTTCTAAAGTGGCCCTTGTTTTGATTGGCCTTAATTCACTTCCAAAATTAACTTAACCTAAATTAAGACCACTTTAATTCTAAATGACAGGGTCCAATCCACATGGTCTTAATGGGGTTTAACTAATCCATTTTAATTAACATTATTTTCCTGAACTTCTCCATATGGACCAGCCCTTTGTGGAGTCAATGGAGCAAGTTGTTCACTGTAGACAAATTTAATTTGAATTTAGTTGCAAAGAAGTTTTAGTAAAGGGATGATCACAAGCTGTTTTAGGTATACACTGTTTCAAATGTGATCGACTTCATAATCCGGGCAAAAGCAAAAGTGTAAATGTGAGCTTTGAATCATAAATAGGAATTTGTAAAATGTGGAAAATGCTTTCCTTTCTCAAAATGGTATTAAGGGGCTTAATTCAGTGACTTGTGCAAAGCAGGGGAGCTTGACAGTTGTGTTACATATAACTTATCTTCCTTCTTTAAAATGCAGTATATTATTCCTTGCTGTTCTTCTAAGTATGAATGAAGATAAAGCAAACTTGTAGTAGTAGTAGCTTTAATAGTGACTTGCTGATGCCAGAGGATCACCCATAGTACTAAATGTCAGACAGGCTTCCAGGTACTTGAAGTATGTTCTGATGGTAGTTCTGGCACCAGTGTGGTCAATAGATCTGCTAACAATTGATTATTGCTTTGTCTCCTGGATGTCTGGTTTTCTTTTTTTCTTAATCAAATAAAACATTTTTTTTCTACAGATGGCTAATGAAATGTTTTTAAAAACCTTTCCTGTTTCTTCAAGTAAAGATTTTAAAACATTGTCATCTGTGAGTGGAAAGGAGGGTATTCCAAGATCTCGGTTAACAGAATCCTCAAACACTTCTGTTACAAGATCTCTAAACACTTCAAATAACAGATTGGTATCTTCACCTCATCCAGATTCTGACAGCAGGTTAGTGAATTAAATGCAAAGGAGATTTCTATTGATCTCCAAAGGAAATATTCTTACAGACTAAAGGTTACAGTGTCTGGCTTCTCTAGGCTAAGGTACAAAACAGTGATTGCTGTGTAATCTTAAGTGTTCTGAGCACATCCCATTTAATATCCTCTGGCTGCATTCTGACAGATGCAAGTAAATATGGCAAAATGTTGCCGAAGGTAGAGAGGAATTGATGGCTTTGTCAGCCTTATTTTTCATCAGACAGCCTCCCATAACATGTAAACTTCTGTTGTTGCTTGTTGGCTCAAATTTGATTAGTCTTTTTTTAAATGCTATTTTAAAATAAACGAGTCATTACATTACAGTAGAAATAACAGTTAACTTACAAATAAATAAAGGCTATATTTATCCTGATTGATGGCCAGTCATTTTTGTAGGCCCCACTAGAGAGTGGATGAATGCAGGGGTGCTTAATTTTCAGAACATGGAGCCTTGGAATCCAGCCTGCAAGGGTTGGGGAAATTTGGCAGTGAGGGGAAGAAATGGCAGTACTGCCACCCCTCCCCACTACCAAAAATCCCAAGCCCTCTGGGGTGGGTCAGAGCCAGGCCACAGCTCTTTCCCTGCACAGCCAGATTGGAGTCAGACCACCCCCCCCCCCCTTCACTCTGTACAGCTCCATTGGGGTCAAGCTGCTCTTTGCCCCATGGGGCCAGTCCACAACCACTTCCTCCCCCCCATGGGGTCTGGCCATGCCCTGTTCCTGCTACAGGGATGGGCCATGACCTCTTTCCCCTGCCCAGCCAGATTGGGGCTGGGGCATGTCCCCTCCCGCCTGTGCAGCTGGGTTGGGGCTGGACCCAAGCTGCATGTCCCCATGCAGTTGGATCGGAGCCGGACTACCCCCCTCCCCACACTTTGTCACCAGATGGGGCCCTACTGTGCCCACCCCAGGCACCTGATTGGGTCCAACAGCTCGATCTAGCCTGCAGAGAGATCAGTCACTACCCATCTGACCCACTGGGCAAAAAGGTTGAGCACCACTGGATTAATATAATGAATGATTAGCACATTTACAAATTACACAGAGACCCTGATAACAGCATGAACTAAATTAGCCTCAAAGAATACAAAATTAGGCATACGCTGTATGACTTGCCTGGAAGTGCTAGAAAATAAGCTATAGTTTTAGAGGTTCTCTCTTCCTAATTGTACCAAGGAGAACCAGCAGTTGCAACAGAATTGTTGAGCAGAATTAGACAGACAAGGTTCTTTAAGTAAATCTGATATTTTTTATTAGACCAACTCAAATAGTTGGAAAAAATCTTTGTAAGCTTTCAAGTATGAATACCCTTCATCAGGCAGAATTAATCACTTTTACTCACTCTGTCCTGTTTCAGTTCATTCAATCTTTGAATTTCAAGAGTACCCTAAAATGTGAGGTTTAGAACTCATAAAGTTGGCCTCCAGTTTTTTAAATTAGAAAACAGAACCGCTTTGTTTAGAGTTGGTGCAGCCCAACATAATTTCATGAATATGGTCCACATAAATTTGAAATGTAAAACTTTGAAAACAAATGATTTTGCATAATATAATAAGTTACAGTAAACTATTTCTCTTTTTCCCATCAGTCTTAAACGGAGGGCTTCTGGTTGTTTGACACCCATAACTGCAAAGACACCGCGGTTACATAATCAAGTAATTGACAATCATGCTGAAGATGATGATGAAGATGTTATCATTTTAGAGGAGAGTAGTACTCCAAAACCTGCAGTAGACTCTGATATAGTGATAATAAAAACTGAACATATTAGTGAGGATCAAGGGAGCATACCCAAAGAAAGTTGTGAAGTCAAGGAACCTTGTGGTACAGTTACTTCTGAGACTAAATGTGGACACTGGACTGCAGCAACACAAACTGAGATCCCAAACTTAGTTGTTAAAAAGGAAGAAGAGGAAGATAGCCCAGGTAGTCTGCTGTCTGTATCAGAAATGGACAGACTTGGACCAAACCTTCAAGAAATTGCAGATGTTTCTGAGACCTCTTCTGCAGATCTTGAAATTAAAGTAAATGAACTAAGAAATCAGTTGCAATTAACAAACGAAGAAAAAGAAACTTACTGGAAACAGTGTGAAATGTTGGCCCAACAGGTGGAAATGCTGGAGCAGAAGATAGTAGAAATGAATGATAAGTATGTGAAAAAGGAAATGTGCCATCAAT